CAGCTTAATGAATGCCCTACTCTTTTGCATTGATTTTTGTGTGTATGTGCGTCTGTGTGTGTGCATGTGTGCCTGGGAAGGATTTCTCATGGGGTTTGCTGTAAACAAGGAAAGCTAAATCCTCTGCCAAAGCTTCTTTTTCTACCTTTAAATAACCTCCATATTAAAATATTTCAGGAGAGAATATAGACAAAAGTACTGAGAATGCAAAAAGTAAAGAACAATTACATCCCAGCAAATACACTGGAAATTTGTAGAACAAGACATTAAACAATCAAATACCTTGATGTGGCAAAACAGTCACTGGAGTAGTATATGTTAATTCGTGCGTTCAGAAAATAGCAGTAAATTCAAAGAGCAGGGTCAAGAAAGCCCTAAAAATCTTAAATTCATGACTGATTCCAGAACACAAATTTTCCTTACACACCTAAAGGCTCATCTTGCAAGGCAAAATATGTTAACAAAAAAAGTCTGCAAGCACCTAGAGATAGAAAAATAATGCATCTTAAAAAGAATTGCGCCACTTTAATTTCTAAACACTTTAAATTGAAATATTCTGGCCAGTTGGATTTCTGCTTTAATGTTTTTCCTAGTTCTTAACATAATGAACTATATATAATTTAAATGGAGATTAATCCTTCCATTTAAAGTGCTTTAAAATAATTCTGCTTATGATCTTGAGATCTCAACCCAGCTTCTCCATAGTGCCTCTTCTCCAGTTTTCCTTGAGCTACATAAGTGGAACTGACAGATCACTGCTCAGATAGCAGCCACGTTCTTCCCCCAAAATGTTGCCTTTTTGCTATTCAGGAGTATCCTAATACCAACAAATGCTAAATGAAGTCTGACATGTACCCCTAAGAAACAAACTTGTAAGTTGCGGCTTCAAAGAAAACCTTGAATAAATAGGACACATTGTGTACACCCAGGCTAACATCCAACATATGCTTTAGTTTCCTGATGCTGAGACAGAGCAAGAATAGCCTCTGGTAAAGTCTGTGATTTGCTATTGCTGGTACTTCCAACATTTATAACGTACCTTTTTTTTTTTTGCCTGTATAAACAATTTTAAAAAATGTAATTAAGAAGACCACAACATTTCAGAACACAACATATTCATGAATAATGGATTATTTGACATGCCACTAGTTTGATCAACAATTACAAAACAAAACAAAGGGCATTCCTGAGCTTACTGGTGGCAATGTTCTTTTGCAGAGGAAAGTCATAACTGGACAGGTGGCTTTACCAAATAAAAAATTAACCTACCTAATGAATGTTTTTAATTCTTCCCTTTGGTGGTGGTGACCAACATGCCAAACAGTGTGACATTGCTAGTAGGTGCTATTAACAGCTACAGATACAAAGAAAGTATGACAGAGACAGGAATAGAGAAAGGCAAGAAAACAAGATAAAACTACATTTAACTGCACATATAGAATCAGTTAAGACACTCCATTCTTAAAAGGCCAAATTATTTATTCATTATTTAGGGAAAGACAAAGAAGGGATGGACAGAGAAGATAAAGATATGACCTACTTTAAGACTTTTTTTTTTTGCCATTATTTAATGTTCTATTTTATGACTAATCCTTCTGAAAGAACTAAAAGGAGTTTAATTCAATCTTATCATCCCCTTCTCTACTTTAAGTTCAATTCCCTTTCCCTTTTGTCTTCCGTTCCTCCAGATTTAGGGCATGAAAGTATATCATTAAAATTCAAGTATAATAATTTACAAGATCTAAAGTGTGCTTACTGAAACATTATGACTTAAAACAAGTTTACTGTGGACCAAACACAGGTTAATTGATCACGGTAAAATAATTAATGTGTTACAACACAACGTGAGCCCATCTATACCATGGACCATAGGCTGACCCACAGAGGAGTCACTACAGACAAAATTCAGTTCTGAAATGTGGCATGTTAAGAACTGATGTAACATTGTAGTTGGAAAGTTTTTATTCTGGACTGGGTACAGCCTCAAAGCACCCAAATGTAAATTATGAACTCACAAATTTGATACTTTAGTCCTTCAGAACCACTTTATTCTTCTAGGAAATTGAGGTTTGGTGGAGCTTTGAGAGGTTTTTTTTTAATTTTTTCACTGCAAAACACCATTTCTTTAAATTCTGCATAAAAATGTGGATAACTAAGCTGTAGTCTTATAACTAAAGCAAAATAAGGTCAGATATACTAGCATGAACAAATAGTTTCACTGGCAGCAAAACTTCAAGTCTATTTTTGCTATCTCTCACCAAATTAGTCCAAGTCCTGCTAGCATTGCAGCTGTTGCTCTGATGGAGAATTGTTAGGAGACTCTGCCAGCTACCTGATTTTATGAAACCTGTATAAATATGTATGAATAAACAGTGATTACACAATCCTCTTTCTCCATTAAACTGCTCCTCAATAATCTGTACATTTCCTTTTTTTCTCTTTTCTATTTTACACTTCTTTGTTTCAAGTATACAGACTGCGGGTTTGTTTCCTATTGCTTGGGAAGGCAGCAAAACCATCAGAGGCATCTCTCAGCTGAGTTCTGCACTGTATTGCTGCACAGATGTTTTCCACTAAAAGACCACATGGTATCTTCATGCTGAACTTTTAGATTTATTGCAACACTGTTTAAAATCATTATTCGTCCAAGAAACTTGAAGACTGATTTTAAGGCTACCTTGTAAATGCATATCTTTGGAATGTTGGGGTAGTAAATAGCTATGATACATCCAAACTATTTATTTAATCAGAAAAAACTTCAATAGAATATAAATAGATTTCAAGTTATAGTGCTCTTATGAGAAGTGTAATTACAGTTAAGAGAACCACTTCGTTCTTCTTGCATGCTCCTGGGATCCCTTAAAATAGTCTAAGGGATAGCTTATGATAATGAAAAAATAATTCTGAGTTACTTCTATGTATGCTATTTGCAGCAGCTATCGTTACAGTATACAAAAAAATACCACAATCCCATAACAAATTTTGCTTCTGAATAACCTTATTTCCTCTAGACCTTAAAAATTTAAGATAGAGAAGATGCAGTCTCCATCAGAGATAAGTAAAAAGCAAGTCCATCATTTAAATCTCAGCCTACTCCCAAATAAGAACCTACACATGTATATTCCTACACATATGTATAATTTAGTTTTTTTTCATTCTGCTGGGCTCTGTATGAGACAACTTGCAATTATCAATGTATGCTTTTGCCAGAAGCCTCATAAATACTATCAGAGTCCAGTGTGTTTTGAGAGTCCCTCCTACTTCTTCCCAGTACAAAAGCCCCTATTGATAAGCTGATTAATAGGGTAAATGCAGTTCTAAAAAGGGAAAAGAACTACCTTTATAATCAATTTTGTGTGAAGACCTTTCTGGCTGCCAAAAGGTCAGAAACTACATCTTCAGGTACAAACTAACTAGAACTGTACCACTACTGAAGTAAATCAGTATTTAAGCTATTTATTCTTTGGAGGGCTCCTCCAAGCCTGCAAGGAATCTATGGCTTCTTGCCCTATCCTGAACACATTTGACATTTTGATATTACCTAGCTGGCCCCACTACCAAAAAAGTTTTACAAAACTTTCTGTCTTGAAAAGGAAGTAGAAGAAGACTGGAGATGGAAGAATACCAATCTAATTAAAAACACATCATGAAACAGCATACAAGTCTGCTGCAAAGAAAAGATATTCCATCTTCTGGATATGCCAAGATAACCAAGTGCATCAAGAAAGCAATTATGGCAGTATACCCTGGTACTCCAGCTTAAGCAGTGAACTTCCCAGCATTTAGAATCTGTACAAGTTCAGTATTTTTTAAATACCATTTGGGGATGTAACTTGCATGACATTAGAAAATATTGAGATACAGCAGTCTGGATAGAGCTCAAGACACCTGTACATTAACACAAGTACTAATATTCCGGACAAGCAAAGCTTCTGTCAAGTAAGCCAACTAAACCTTCATCAATTTTATTTCAGACTGCCTTGTGTATCTCTAGAGTCTGAAGGGACAGAGTTAAATTCTTTGCTTAGCAGACCCACTGCGGCACCTGTTGCTATACAGCTACGCTAGGGGCTTATTACCAGACTTATTTCACAGAACAAGGCAAAAAGGCTTATCCATTCTCGCATTACAAACAAGAGTGACACTCTTTCTAAACGTGAATACACATGAACACTTTTGAACATGAAAATTGCTATTTCTAGATGACTGCAATGAGTTCTGTTAAATCATCATTCTATTTTGAATGAACATCAAAAGACATGCAGAAAGCATATTTATTTTCTCCCACTCAGACACTGAATTTGTTTAAGTGTTATACACAAACATACCTAAAACTAGCTGATACAATAGATGAAATAACTCGAGCTGGAGGCATTTTTCCTCTCATGAATTTATAACCCTTTATTTAAAGGGGTTTTAACAGAAACCATTCATGTCTTACAACAATCTCTACTATTTGATTGCAATTACAATGAACACTATCTTTGCAGAGCAACCAATTTTACTGGTGATACAAAAAGTTATTGATCCAGGCCTCATCCAACCCAGTGCAAGAACCACAACCAGCAGCCAGATCATCTAGGTAGGTTTGAAGTATCTGCACAGTGCAAGTGCTACAGCAAACCATTTAACATTACTGGAATGATCACTTTTTCTTGACTTATGATACCTCAGAACAAGTGTTCAGTTTGAGAAGTGTGTAGCAAAATCATGCACAGCTAGAAAGTTGTAGGGAATGGAACTACACTAGAATGCTTCCACGTATCACTACACCTCCTAGCCAAGAAAACTAATATATTCTTTCTTACATCCCATAAGTTACTGTTGTGAAAAACATAATTTATCTACCAAATTAATGCTTAAGATGCAAGTTGAATCCTTCAAGTTGTTGTTCTTCCCTTTAGAAGGTCAATGTACGTGATCTACAGTGGCATACTTGTGTTTCTCCCCCCTCAAAACACAGCACAATGTAATAATGAAAGCACAGAAAGGCAACATACCATCATAGTAGACAATAGCTCCAACAAGCTCGTCTTTGCGTAGCATTGGAAAGTGCTCCAAGGCTCTTGACTTGCTAAGGACATAACTACTTTTCAGACACTGACTTCCTGCCACGAGGTCATACAGTTTTATTCCAAACCAGTAGTATGGCAACTGCCACCATCTGCAGGCAAAAAAAATTCCCCATGAAGTGAAATTAAAGAAAAGAAATTTAAAAGTGCATGCATACACTGTTATTGTAATATAGACCATGTCAAGTAACACAGTATGTTCTATTACACCAGTTTTACTTTGTGCCATCATACAAGTCCGTGTTATCACAATATAGTGTAAATATGCAAGAACTTATGTATTGTTCACTACTGTTTTCAACTGATCTACTCACTGCAGTTAGTCAAGCAGGTTCAAGGCTTTATTTATTCTAGAATTAGGATCACAAACTGGCTTTTTGTACTTCAGTGTAAGGTGAGATATTAAAGCTCTGTGTTGAAGGGAGAACCAAGCTGTGTGTGCAAGCTGAAAGAGTTCCTCATATGCACATCTTGAATAATACCTCCTACACAAACAGGACCAAATAAATGCAGCCAACTGCTGGCCTACATGAGCTCCAGCCTCTTTTATTAAGATAGGAACAAAGCCACATATTAAGATCATTCAGTAAAAACTCACTGCTCTAAGTAGCCTGTTACAGTGAGTAACTGTTCTTACAGATCTAAAACCATAACCCAAATCACTTAAATTCTCTCATATGAGAAACAAACTGCTCTCTGAATACCAAACCATCATGTGCTGTGGAAGGCAAGTGCACTGAATTACTGCACTGAACGCTGGTGGTGGTATGGACTAAACAGCACATTGCTAACAACACTATGATAGCATGTGTTGAAGACAAGGTTGTACTGGAAAGAATAGCAAATAACATCCTGGGAATGAGAGTTCATTCCACTGCAAACTCCCCTCCTCCCCCCTATTGAGGTGGTAGAAATGCACTGAACAGCTGAAGTCTAAGATGTGGTCCCAGAGAGCAGTGAGAGGGGCTTGGTGCCATAAGAGAATGTCATGCTTCTACAATACGGCAACATCTCCCCTCCTGGAGGACGAAGCTTGTGACAGGTTTAAAGACATACTTGCAAAGAGGCACCTAGAAACTTCTCCAGGGAAATAGGTTGCTTGTCAAAAGCAATGGTAAAGGAGAGATATTACAGCAGAGCTTACTTGTAAACAGGTAGCATTATTGGCAAAGGAGCTGATAGGTGAGGAGCGATTTCAAGGAGATTTGCACGCTCCTCAAGTGCTTCTTTCACCATCTTGTACTGAAAAACAGAAGTGTACATGTGAATCCCACATTATTCAATTTTGTCTCTGTGTGCAACATTTAATAAGAAACTGTTTATCAAAGCAAATACCTCATGTAATTTTTACTGTTCTTTCAAAAACACACTGAGATTTGTTGAAAAATTCAAAAGTTAAGGAAAATGCTTCCCAAGAAAATTGTTTCACTAGTTTCATTTTGGTGTCTTGGCAGATCAGCTGAATAATTTTTCATTTGAACATAAAGTGCAGTAAGCCGTGTTACTCCTGACTATGGGCAGGAGGCACTTAAGGAGTGTTAGAACTCATCCCACAGCACAGCTTCTGTGCCGATTCCCACAATTAAATCCTATACTAAGTCCGACTTGCAAATGCAGAAGTGTTCTTCTGCAAATCAGTCAATATGAATCAATATGAAGTTGTTCTTTGGCAAAAAAGAAGGTTGATTTCTCTAGCAGAATAACTGCATGTTTTATATATTGTTCCCTGAGAAGTCACTGTTTCTTTAGCAGTATTATAACCAATAAAACATACTTTAAGTTAGAGAGGTTTCAAAGAGAAGACAAATCAATTTCTCAAAACAAGAATATCACACTTCCATCAATACAAGAATACATAAAATCATTTATACCTAATCACTCATTTACCATATTTTCTTTCCCCCTTCCAGAATAAACAGGACAACCACTCTCTCCCCCAAATGCTGATCATGACGGGTAGGAAGCTCTTTCTACTCTGAAGTCAGCCCTGTCTTTGCCTCCCTTCCCCAAAATATACATAGTCTACAAGGTATGGCAATTAGATTGCTCATAAAAGAATTTAGCAAAAGGCAGCAGCACCCATTTCCCTAGTCTGGAAAGCTCTACCGGAGAGGGCACTTTCTACGTACAGTGGCTGTGGAATACAACAGTCAAGTATTGAAAAAAATAAAAAGGAGACTTGGATATAAGTGGGATAGGGGAAGTGTCTACTAGCAATTTTTGCTTAACAACCAGCATAAACAATTACCTGCTCAAAATCCAACTTCATGATGGCCTTCTGAAGATATCTCACTCCACCATGGATCAATTTAGTACTCCTGCTGCTGGTCCCTGATGAGAAATCATCTCTTTCTAGAAGGGCTGTTTTTAGTCCTGTGTTACCAGAAAACCAAATTAACTTCTTAAATTACACAATTTGTATGTAATTCATTAAAGACACTTCTCTAGGGTAGAGACAATCACAAGAAAAATTACTCTGTACATGGATAAATTTGTATTCAAAGTGTAGTGCACTGTCTATATTGTAATGAAAAATTTTAGCCTCCTTCCTAAGGGAAAAGTCAAAACAGAACTTAAACAGAAGCACATTAAAACCTGGATATTTCACAATAGAAAGGCATTACAGTACATTATAGGGGCCACGCTCCCTCAAGCAAATTATAGTTCGTATTCATGGCAGGAACAGAATATTTTCATGAATACTTTTAACTCTTTGCAGCAGACAGCTCTAAACCTATCACACTAAACAGCATACTAGAGAGGCAGACAACCAGCATCTTTGTCTGCTTACTTACAGTCTGCTCAAGAGGTGCCTAAAGCCAGAGGAGAGCCAGCCACAGACATGCTCACCGCTCAGGGAGAGCTCACCAGAGAACATGACACACAGACACACACAAAACAGTAGTTATAAGATATTACTAAGTATTTAAGAAAAAACGTCTACTCAAAAATGCGCACGCTTGTTCCCTGACACCATCAGGCGCTGACAGTTTGACCAGCACAAGGAAGGGATAACCACATGGTTCACAGACGGTCAGCCAAATGCAGAACACAAAGTGCTTTATAACCGAACATTATAATGCTTATTCTAACAAACACTTGGAACGAGGTTGGCATGTTTGTTGCAGAAGTTGTGTTCCCAGTTACCCTGAAGGCCAGGAAAAAACTTTTCATGGTTGAAGACATGCTGCTTTATACTGAAGTCACTATGAAACCATACACCCTAATACAGTCAACACAACATCCCTTGTACAAGGGAAGTGCTGGCATCTTCTTCGTGAAGGAGACTGACACCAGGTTATGTGATGGAAGTCAGGTGAAAGGAAGAGTTGCAGGAAACAGATGATTAACAGATGCCTTTTAATGATAAGATACAGGCAACAGCCTGGCCACGTCCTTTGGCACATACCTACAAGACAACCACCACCAACTTCCAACATCCAGCATAAGTAAAGCCAACCAAGATAAGCACCATACGACAAGTACATGGCAATCTTTCACTTAAAACATATGTGGAAGGACAATCTGTGTTACAGAAGTTAGCATAACTGACCCCCTCCATGGCTGGCAGAATTTTGAAGTTAGGCAGGCAAAGCAAAAAGTGAATTAAATTCAATGATACTGGTACCAAAACCAACAGGAACAACATGACGATGCATACCCAAGGAGAAGAGCATCATCTGTATTAGAAGTTATCCCTTGGGCCTTTCCTTCGCCCTCTTTGAGGCGTGCTTTACGTTATTGGTTGGTGAACATACATTTTAACATCTATTGGTCTCCCAAAACTTTTGTGTCCTTAAAAAAAAAATCTAATTATTACTGGTAACTTCCAAAGATCAGAGTAATTTATTTTTGTCAAATGTGACTGAAGATTAATGGATACAATCAGAAATAATTTGGCGAAGATATATCAAACACATGAAAAGCAAAATTTGTTGTTAAGCGAAGCAAACATAATAAAAGAGCAAGTTCCATGAATGAACAGCAACAATACACAATTCATTAACCAAATGCTTAGGAATATTTCACACTTCAGAAATCTACTGATACAGTCAGAATGTCTAGTAAAAGGATAAACATATATTACCTATAATAATTTCTGTATGCTTTACAACTGCATTTTTCTACCACAACATAGCAGAGGCAGAAGTGAAAAGATCCCAAGTAATCTTTAATAATACATGAAAAAAAATTAACCAGATTTGAGTTTGCATGTATCTACCAATGGTAGATAACTGCTTTATCTACTTCAAAATTACCACACCTTCTGGACAAGTATTGTCCAAATCAAGCTATAAAACACTTCTGGAGTCAGGTTTTGCCTCTTATTTCTAAGACGTATCTACAGGTTAAGGAACCTGAAGAACTTTATGGCTATCTACTATGTTTTACACTTTTTTTTTCCCCCCATTTTATTTCCAAAACCAGAACTACAAACACAGAAACTAAGGAAGGTTGCTTCTCTCTCTCATTGGCTGATTCTACTGAAAACAACTGAGGGAACACATCCCAAGACACACTTTTCTCACAAGTCTTTTACATAGCTTTTTGGATAAAATTATTATATTCTGGGGGAATATAGCATTTTAATAGAACAGGAGTTGATGCTACAGCCTCTCCTGCAGAAACTGTACCCATGCATTCTCATCTCTGTATCTGAAGATCTATTTTCATTAAACTTGTAAAATTACTTACCCTCTTTAAGACCTGTCAAATTTGATTAGAACCTGCTGGCCAATTTCAGAGTTACTGTGTGAGGTGGATGACACAGACAGAGTGGACATTAGCATCCTGCTTTTTCACTCCCTGAACAGAGTTTTTCACATGTCTGACCAACTGCTTGAGCTATTGGGCAACATCTGCACATCTATTGGGCAACAACCAACTGTAACCACACACATTCTCATCCTCCTGCAGAAGTCAGGTAAAAAGCATTAGCTTAAACTCATTTTACCTTGAGCTTTCCATAAGTTAAGGCTACGCATAAAGTTAACATCAATTCTGCTGCTTCTAGTAGCTTCTTAAGTCAGTTACATAGCTATTCCCCCAAAAGAGAGGAAATTGGAGCGCAGATCTACTGTATGTACTTTCAGACTGAATGGTGCTAGTACCTTTCACTGAAATCCAGACAGACTTCTCCAAACCTGCAATATACTAAGCAGCTACAATGCATTAGCAGAAGTTACAGATATCTCATGTTATAAGAAATACGAGCTGCAGAGCCACTGTGCCTCATCTAGAGTTCACGCTTGGCCCTTTCAAAACAGTTGCTAAAAGTGCTGTGCAAGTCTTGTCTTTTCTTTACTGCAGATATTCTCCTGCACAAACAAGTGAAATGTGACTACAGATAAACCCACTAAGTGAGGAGCAACAGAGAATGAGAAGTCCATCCAAGACCATTCAGCAAAAAGGTTAGACAACTGCATACAAGTACCTAGACAATAAAGACTCTGCTGAAACAACAAAATGCAATGACATTTTTTTCTTCAAGTTCATTTTAGCTTCTGAGAACAGAAATTTTATAACCAGGCATTTAGAGTACACCTTCTCTATCTTCAAGTACTTTTGAAAAGCCAATCTGATAAATTTATTATAAACCATGTAATCCAAGAATAAGAATGCAATTAAATTTTCAAGCCTTACCTCTAGTGACTGCATCTAAAGCACAGCCACATCCTGTTGCTCCTCCACCTATAACAAGGACATCAAATTCACCTGTGGTTTGCAGTGCCAAAATTTGTTGTTCTCTTGTGGGGAGATGGTTCTTTATTGGAACAGTCACAGCTTCTGCAGCTTGAACATGCACAAAGGTACTCTACAGATTAAAGATTAAAAACAACACATGAGGATGTGCATATACACACACATGCGTACACCCCCCCCCCCCCACAAACCAAACATTTTCTATAACCATAAAGGTAAACTCAAATATTCCCAGTCACTTCACCTATATCTAATAATAATATTGTATTAAAACATTATGGAGCAACAAACAGTACTAAAACCATAAAGGGTTAGCACACATTTACTTCATCTTGCCTACTTCAATACAATGCTATACTCAAGCACTACTACCTATATTAATTATTTCTAGGAAGAGTCTTCTGCTATGTCAAATGTTACAGGATGCTCAGGAAGTATTTTAATAAACAGACACATGGTTAGGCTCTCAACCCTCTACCAAAAAAATCCATCAAAGCAAAGGACTTAAAGATGAATGTACACTTTATATTTTAAAACTGGTTACTTGTACAGTGGCATTAATCTAAGCTCAAATTTGATCAGGTTCGTGAGACGATGTCGTTTACTGTCAAATATAGTATACTAAAACACCAAAGAAACACCATTTCCATATCCTTTTTGAAAATCTTCAAAGCAAAGCTATTTGTATCCTACAGCACGCTAAAATACACCTTTTCTTTAAAGTGACAAAACTTAATGATGTGGCAGTTTCCAGACAAGTTCAGATTTTACTGGAATAGCTTTGAGAATCTCTCTAGTACTCTGCCTGATATTCCACGAGCCAGTGCTGCTCTCCATTTAGTGACCATGGTGAGAAAGGCCACATGCTTGCTTGCTCAGTCAATTAATATGGGCCACAGTTTAAATTTTAAGGTTTTAACCAGTTTCTAAAGGCTCTCTTCTGTTACCATTGATTTAAACTGAATTTTGAAAACCTTTACACTCACAGGAATTCCCAAACCCTATTACTGGTCATATACTTCACAATCTATGTTATGAGTGCCATCACTGTGGGTTCATATTCATCACACTAATTTTACATACAATGGGCTACAGGCAGATATCATAGTTGTTCAGACAGTTAAATAGGGTGCAAGACCACAAAAGTCATGCTTGCTTTCTCTTTGCTTTCAGCTCCAGCTTTGCTTTTTATTTCAGCTCTTTTCCTCATTCACCATTGTCTCTCATTCTGCACGAAATTAGACACTAAATTTCTCTCACCACTACTTTTTAAGACCCGAAGAACCCATCTTTTCCGTAACAGAGTAATCACTTGTGTGTAAGTGTAGCTAGCAGACAAGGCACCTGCATTTACAATGTAAGAAGGGTAGTCCAGGTACTACTGGCTACGGAGCCAGAACACCCACAGCACATCCCAGCTTGGCAGCAGACCCCCCCACCCAACCTTGAGAACATTACTTGAGCCAGTTATTTCAGAAATAAACAGATTTTGGTGCTCTGAATTTCATTTGATTGAGAGGAGTGCTTTTATTAGTATCTAGCACTTCCAAAGGAACTGTTTTAACCACTACTGATTTGAAATACATATGTGAAAATAAATAAATGCCTACGCTACCCAGACAAGGGGGCCAGGACAGAAGAACTAATTGACCAATTCAGAATGGATCAAAATAAACAAACAGGACACTAAGAATTAACATTTTCAGACTTTCCTGAAAATTATAAACACTTTCAACACAAGGAAAACCTGTTTAAACCCTACAGTCTAAGGTCCGAGCATGATCCAGTCTTCAGTGCAAATGGCAGACTTAACTGATGTAAAATAGCTTGTGTCCAGATCTCCTAGACAGAGTAAACTAACACAAATTCAAGTGACCAAACACAAAATACTACTTTCTTACTATCATCTAAAAGAATTTGTCTAATCTCTTTCCATCCACTGCTTACAATGTGCAAGTAAGCTCTCTAAGTTTTTATTTCCAAACATTCCTTGAATAAACTGAACTAGGCAAGTTGTTCAGTTATTTCTATAATTTATTGCTTATTGCACTAGCAGTGAATTACAATTGCCACAGAAATAGCTCCTAAGTCCAGTCCCACGCTGCAAACACACCATCACAAGCACCGTTTACCCTGCCTCGGTGTTTTATCGTTGTTCAGCCCACATGTTGAGTTTCCCAGATAGATGCTCCTAGATCACTGCACTTCTGAAAAGCTCTCCGCTAATGTAAGCCACCTCCAGGTTTTAGGAACTCCAGCCACCTTCCCCATCGTTTGCAATGGGGAGGGAATATACACCTGCAATATTAAAATAGCTTGACTGACAAAAGGTAACTCAGTCGCTTGCCACCATCTGTTCACATGCACAGCTGACCAGGTTTCCATGAGTAGCTACCCAAACAGTGGGAGTTCCTCTTTGGCAAGTAATTCACTGGTTGTCATAGAGCTCTGTAAGCAGACCTTGTGAGTTAAAGGTAAAAGCAATTCTTGCAACGTGTCCACTGTAAATTAACAGCCAGTCCAGCCATGCACAATTCATTATATGGTGCACACAACCTAAATATTTTTGTTCAAAATTATTTGCTTATTCTTCAGCAGTATTATGATTGAAATGCATTATTTCTCAATGTTCCTATCACTACTATACAATTGGAAATAAAATCTAATAACTAGTAGCCACGTCTAAAGGAAGAGCACATTGAAAAGATAGTTAATGATCAAGTTCATCCTATAATCATGGATTATATTGACTATAATGCAAGTAGCTCATGCAAATTACTTAGGATAGCAGCAACCACCTTCATTGCACGTGTTACAATTCAATCAATAAGGAAAGCTAGACTAGAGAAAGAGTGCTTTGCTTTATATTAAGGATCCATATCTTCCCAGAAATAAAGTGAAAATTCAGATCTCAAACAACTGAAGTTTGGCAAATTAGAACTCAGGCTATAGTATTACTACTGATTTTTCCTAAGCACGGTGCTGGTGGTTTCCACTGGGGTCACCTCCGGCCCTGCCAGCCCCAGCCCCCAGCCCAGCAAGCACTTGGGCAGGGGCTACCCCTCCAGGCGTGTGACTGGGTGCATTAAGCACTCAACCAACTGTGGCCCAGGCTTAGTCACCGACTACAAATGCACAGTAACGAAAGGTCTCCTAATTAGAAGCTTGTTTAAACCCACCGCAACCCTCAAATAGAGACAGATGCGCTGCCAGCCCCAGGAGTTCAAGGAGGTACGAGACACACACAGACAGTGGAGAGGTTGAGTCAAAGTGAAGCAGAGGTGAATGTTGATGAGCCTCCCAATTACAGTCTCCCCTCGCTCTCACATATTTACATACTAACGTGGCAGCTGGCAAAGATCACCAGACAAGGTACAAAGTTTTGGCACTTCAGAGAAACTCAGCTTCCACGTTATTCTTCTGACCAATGAATTCTGTATATTCCCACCTACTTTTGCCTCTTGCTCTGCTCTCTCCCCAGCTTACTCGTCTCTAGCAGTGCTAAAAACTTTTATATCCCCAAAAGCATGATAGAAACTTTTATATTCCTAAAGTATGGTACACTGACGCAGTTCCAGAACACTTTTTTCCAGGGAGTGATGAACACAAGGAGGGAAACACTGAGAGGATCCAACTGTTCCTGTGTTCACTCCTTCCTCCACGGCTGTAAAGACAACCCTCCTGCCTCTGTGCTTCTGCAGGGGTTTGCTGTGACCCCTCTGACTGCCTCCGGCAGCAGCTCTGCACAACTTGCCCTCCCAAAAGGGAATGAAAAAGCAGTGCATGAAAGGTTTTTCCCCTTGAATACCTGAAAACTGTGACAACTCTGCAGCTTTCTGGGTTGCATAGCAAGTGTTACTTGTGGCTTCCTACACGGTCTCTGGTTTTTCCTTGGTAAGCTGTTGCATTAAGCATGCTTTTTAGTCCTGTATCATTACAGAGAGTACAGAGAGCTGATGCCAATTTCCTAGCTTCCCTAAATATCACCCTGTGATTTGGAGACAACAGTGACAAGAAGGAAATTGTGAAGACCAAAACCACCCATGGCTTAGTCTTGCATGTGTTTGGGTTGAGCAAATTCAACTACCTATGCTCAACTTTCTTAAACTTTAAAAAAGTGAAAATCCCCATCTCAAAATTAGTTTTGCACTATGTTTCCAGACATGCCTTCTTCAGCAAAACAAGTGACTATTTTCAAAGTGCACAACTTAACTTCAGGAAAATAAGAGGATACGTGAAAACCAAAATTTAGAGTTCAAGAAGTACTAGCAGAATTTGGTTTTGACTATATTTTTTGTTTTGGTTTTAAACACATTGTGTACAACAAATGGCTTATAGTAAAACACAGACCAGAGTCCCAAGCAGATAGCCACTGGTATAGCAAGAGCATAGCGATTAGCACTGAAATATAAGGAAAGTGATTAGCGCACTAGGAATTGATATAGATATGATTCATCTTGCTGTCAATTAAATGCGAGAGTGAAGAAAAGCTGCATACAGGGATCCCATCTGCAATAACGTGATTAGTTTGGCAGTGAACAAGTATGTTTACTGAAATAAGCAATTGCTGTTTATATCTACAATTTCTCAGGCAAGAGTTCCTTGAATGGTTTTGATTACACTCTTAGCAAGAAGAAATTTAGTTTGGCAGTTTGAATTTAATCATGAAGTTATAAAGTGATCTAGTAATCCATAAGCAAGCATTCTTGTTAATTTGCTAATGTAAATCTCTAGGTAGGTTTGCAGAGTCAAATTCGTCATCCTTATTCATTAAAAAGAGGAAAAAAAAAAGTAATCAAAAAACCCCAAAAGCAGGCCCCAATGCATTATCCTATTATCACACTCTGTTGGATTCACCTTGATGAGCAATTCCTACTGACCAACAATGTCCTTACGCACCAGCAAGAGAGAAGGATTGCCTAGTGGGCTTAGTTAGGAAAAGACAGCAATCTCTTACAACTCCAAAACAAAGCAGTGCTTTTTCCCTTAATGATTATGGGGAGGGTGGGGTGGGGGGAAATCATTGGCGGTCTCCAATTCAAACTTGGCACATCAAAGAATACCCACATCATATCTAGTACTACCCCACTTGGCTCAGCATTAAAATAATGGCAGAAAAAGCAAGAATGCAGCAATTCAGTCAGCATCTACAGGAAGCAAGAGAAACTGGTATTTCCATTTCTCTATCACCGTTAGTGTTAGAAGCACTGATGAAACAGCTAGCAAAGGCCGGCTGTATCACCTTTGCCATTCATGTATCTGAATATTTGAGGCCAAATCAATCAATTATGTACGTAGCCTGTGTATTTTATGTCTCAGAGGGTTCCAACTTCATCTCAGATACAATTCTTCTTTTCAGGACTTCATGACTGGTAGTCAATGTAGGGTACATGGATTTGAGAGTTCCTGTATTGTTTAAGATTAATTTCCTTTACAGTGGTAGCACTGATGCACACTGTTGCTTTACCAGAATACAGTTTAGGAGGGACTAGTTTCTTCAGACGTCTGTACTGCCTGCTGTGAAGAGTTCCCCAACTGTCTCTTTTTCTCTGGAAAAGGGTTTTTCTTTTTAATCTAACCAAGAGCCTTCTTGTCAGACTTATGCATTTGCCCGCAACAGCCTAAGTCAGTAAGGCTGCACAGAAAGCTTGACCAGCTTCCTTAAGGGTAATGGTTATTCAATATGAAAGAATGACTCCTGTGTGTTTACTGAAAGAGGTTTTGCTTGAATTAGTGTCATTCCTACTTATTGCCTTACACAAAGCATTAGGCTAAACCAGCTTATTAATTCAGTAAATATCCTGGCGATCAGGTTACTATAAAAGACACAGAAGTGCAATATTCATCCGTCAGCTTATGAGTTAAATTCAACAACAGTTCTGTCATGTCAACATGTGTTCCCATCCTCCCTTTGCTCGGCAGGAACTGTGTGTTGCCAAAAAACCCAACACACAATAAGGGCAATTTGCTAAACTGGTTGTATGCCTGCATATGCCATACATAGATATTCTCAGGTTATATTGCCTCAATTGCTGTTGCAGAAATGTGCTCCAAAATGTCAGCACACGTGCGTGCGTGTGTGTGCGTGTGTATAGAAAACTAAGTTGGGACAAAAATCTTGAAAACCAGGACAGATCTGAATCAATGGAATGTTTTATTTCCAAGGTGTAAACACTTCACAGCTGTTTACATACAGACAAGGTTAACCTTGCTAACTGTGCCATTCTCCTCACAGTCAGGCTTTGACTCTCAAACCTAGCAAGGACAATTTAAATTTCAACATCAGAAATTGCCAACAGTCATCCCTTTTAGTAGGCAAAACATCCACTAGTATGCTCGACTAACAAATCCAGATGGCCTCCCACCCGTTCGCAAGGGCCAGAACTTTTACCACCCTTCAGCTACTCCCTTGGAATTATCTGGGACAGACAAGTTTCACAGAAACATTGAACACCAGGTGAGTGAACATGGAAAACAAAGACAGATCAACTAGATGGTGTGTTCAGGATTATTAGCCAGCCGGGGTCTTTATTTTGTAACTGGATGCCCCTAATTCCAGGTGCTAGTCACAGCACAGACAACCAGTCACTGAGTGAAGCAATATGAACATGGGTAAAAAACCTGAGCATTTTATTTCTGTCTTACTATGTGCTGGATTCTGCTCTCAAAATAACAACAGATTTCCTACAATGTGTAGCCAATTAGTGCACATCTTGGGGCAATATCCTTCTCTGGCAAAGGAAGACAAGATCTTTGCCCTAGCATATATTTGATTGGCAGGCATTATTAAAAAGAGGACACTTGGGCTGGGGGACATGCCCACAGCTTAGATATGTCAACACGACAAATGGACTGTCCTCCTTTGTGTCAATCCCTCCAGTTACATTCCACCTGCTGCCCTATATTAGGTGTTTAAGGCAGCAGCTTTAAGGGACATCACATGGGAAATATGCAAGTTAGTACAACATGAAAACAACATGCTGTTCACTTGACAGATCCATTTGCTTATACATATGCTGGAAATTTTCAGATCCTTTGTAGGCTGATCCCACACAATAGGTTTAGAAATTGGGGGACAAGCGGTTATTTCATTTTGACACCATGACCACCTTCTGTAAAACTCTGGGTTTTGATCTGTCTCTGGAAATTTGTAACAACCATCCAACAGCCATCTAGTCCCAGAAAAATGGGAATTCCCTGAATTCTGGAATACTGCATATACAACAAGTGAGCCATCCAGATCACTTTTCCCTTCCAACTCCTTCTCTTATTTAACAGTCCTAAAATTTGAAGCTGCCATTTCTGACAGTAATGAAGCCAGATTGTAAAATCCTGTGATAAAGACTCCAGAGAGAGTTAGAAACAGTATTATCAGCTAGGTGCAAGACAGGCAGCCCAATGGGAAGCTCACTTTAAATGCTAGGTTTTATTTTCAGCAACATTTTTTCTGAAGCCATAAGGATCCTGGCTTATCTACTTTCCAGCTAGGTTCCCCAGAAATGACTCATCTCATTTGCTTTACCAGTACTTCAGCTGCTGCTACTCCTCCTCCCCATAGAAACAGCCAGAAGACTCAGATTATCATTTATTCAGACGTAATACACACCTTCATGGAGCTCAGTGAAGACTGTCTCCCATCACCCACTGTTTTACCTTCGACTAGACCATTAAGATCCACTTCTGTTCCTATTTTCAGTTTGCCCAATTTGAATGGCAACTTATAGTAAATGTGTGGTAACTAAAGCAGTTCACAGAGTAACAGCTTGTCTAGATAAAGAGCTGACTGATTACATTTCTAAGGTGAGAAGCAGAAAACACCACGCGAAATGAGCACCTGCTCACCTAGCTGCTCAGATTGATACTATCTCAAAGGAAGGAGGAGGTAGTTCCTTGGGCTTAAGCTTTTTCCAAATCCAGATTGAAGCAAATCAGGCCAGAGCTCTGACTACACCTACTTCAACCATTTTACGGAACACTGACTGCAAATATTTTTGGCCGAATGCAAGGTACCAGCCTCACAGCCCACATTTAACACAAGATCAGAAGACATGTTCCCTTATACACATCTACTAAGCCTAGACATGGTTATTTTATAAAACTCTAAAGCACAGCACAACTGCATTAAAACAATAGGCATTTATTTGCTTTAAGACAGAGTAGTTGCTGACCCACACCAGCTCTACCTGAAACAAGTCCACAACTTCCTTTTACCGATTTCTCCTTGGCTTCTGCATAGAGAAACAAGTTAAAGAGCATGGCGACTCCGACTTTACTGTGAGGAGCAGATATGCCAATGAAATCTATTTTCTACAACAGCAAGAATCAATACACAAACTGACACTGGAATCTACTGCACCTCTTTCTACTGCCATTACTTTATTTTAACAGTATGTCTCCAACATCATCCTTCACTGCTCAGGGAATTTATTCTGTCTTTTGTGCCTTGGTTATCTGGAAGACAGCACTGAACTGTACCTCGAGCTTACCAGTTGTCTAGGTTGTGCCCACCGGACAGAGGCCAATGCCCACCAGAAACAACAGAAGCCTCACCATTGACTTCTTTGGCACAGATCCTATCCTCAAACAGTTTTCAGCTTTTTGTACTGAAAGAGAGCTGGCACCATGACTGTTTTGAAGCTGAGATTTTCAGAGGTAGTGCTACTGCTTTTTACTTCAACCTTCTAAGTCTGAAAATACTGTCCAAACTCTACTTAGAGCTTATACTTCAATTGGTACTTTCCACTCCTGCAACTAAGTAGAATCCCTAGTAGTACACAAAGGTCATTTTTTTAAACATGAAAAATGATTTACAAGAATCGCAGTTCCCTCCTGGTTAAAGGCCTACAATAGTGAAACATCATTTAATGCCACCCTCCAGATTAGCACCTACCAAATCAAGCTGAGAGGCTCTTGGCATTCCTTTCCAAACAAAACTATTCGTATAAGCCTAACATACGCTCAAACAGATTTTAAGTTTCATATTTTATCAGAAATCATAATTAATACTTACGTGTTTGTTTCTATACTGAGAAAATTGAGAGAGGCCAAAAACTGTTGCTATGGCACCTCCTCCAATGAGAGCAGTTCCTTTCACTGCCTTCTGAAATGCCATTTTTTACTGTAAGAAAAGAAGATAAAAATTAATAGGCAGTTTTACCATGTTAGAATCTAGGCTACACAGAATAGACCATTTGTAGAAACTAATGACAGTGTGGTGACAAGTTGAAACTTGGGGCAGCAATATATTAATTAGCGATTTTCATTACAATATTAATAATTTCCAAACAAAGACTAGACAGAGGCAAGCCAGAGTGCTCTGCTATTTGCTGTGAAAGCTGAACAACAAAAGAGTATTTAGATATCTAAGTAGATATGTACACACACCCCTCATTTAAACTCTTACGTACTCTTATATGTGACAAGTACTTACAATACTGTGGCAAAAGCAGAACAAGAACATGCCAGCATCAGCCAGATGGCCACCAAATCCTTACCACAACAGAACAGCTGATCTGCTTGACAAGCTACCCTCCAGTCCCATCAAACTACTTCTACAACCACATTTGCCTAACAGCACTCCATCCTGCTTTCCGGCCAGGAATTACGATCCCTGTATTCACTGTATACCAACAAAGCTTGTCTTACTTGGGAACAGTGGAGAAGCAATGCACTGCTAGTCAGGAAGCAAGTCCTTCAGTGAGAAGCAGCAGCAGAGACAGTGGACAAGATTAAGTGGCTTGAAGTAAGCATAGAACTTTTATCATCTAGCTACAGAGGGTTTAAAACTAGCCCTATGTGGGTCAGGCAAATTCCTAAAAGACCCAGTGTTCGGATACTGAATGAAAAATTTGCATGGAACTGACCTGAATCTTAAGCAGGCACAACCTAATCCATCTTCCCAGGACCGCGGTAGCTCGCATCGCATTAGAAACAACATACATCAAGTTTGAAGGACTCCCGTCAGCGCTCCAAGCCCTCCAGTTATGAAGACACCTTTGTCCAAGCCCCAGATTCACCCAGCAGTCTCCATACAAGAGATTTAACACCGTTAAGGCTTAAAGCAGAAGCAGGCAACGTGTACAGCCCCGTGCCAACACCAGAACACCAGCGGACTTACAACGTGGCGGCAGTGGCCCTGGGCCAGGAGCAGGGAGCTGCAGCCGCTCCCCATCCCAGGACTGGGCAGGGGGGGGAGGCCCCGGTAGCCTCACCAGGACCCTGGCTACAGGGCTCAGCCCTTGCCTTGGTCCTCCAGCGAGGCCCCGCGCGTCGTCCCCGCTGCTGTGGTCCAGCACAGCTCTGGCACGGCACGGCACCTCACCATGTGCCTGCTGATCTAGAGACTTCGCAGCCCTCCCTCCGCAGCTGCTGCCCATCTTATAACCCAGTCTGGTGTGTTTGGTATAAACCATTACTTTGGGCAGCGTACAGCTTTCTTGTCAAGATTTGCAGCAAACTACTTACAACTGAAGAGTTATTTCTTTGGCCTTATAAAGACAATTAAACAAGAAATACTATATGTTATCATACATCTGTACACATCTTTCTTCTCGTATTAGTTCTTCCAGCTAGCATAATTGCTCTTTCTTCTTAAAAAATACACCACACATGCTTAAGGCACACACCAAACAAGAAAATTTCATTTTTAAGATGGCGTAGATCTTAACTTCATTCCCCATGCACTTTGCTTGCAGCACACTCAGTGTCATGGGAAATTCCACACACAATTACTGTACGCAAACATTTGATGTACAGATGTTGTACGTACGTACTGTATGCAAGCAATTATTGTACAGAAGGCCAAGACTTGCAGCTTCCCACACGTTTTTCTGAAGAGCAGCATGTATGCTCTTGAAGATTCCCACCACAACAACCTTTCTTGGTACATATGTAGAGTATCACATTTTCCATTTACTTCATACTTCAGTCTCAGAAAAGACCAACTTCATCTTTCCTTTATAGCATGACAGGGAGGAGTAAAAGGGAAAGGCAACAGACAAAACCCCAGTAAGGGAAGTTTCTGAAAGGGAAGTTACTGTGAAAACCTGGCATCAAAAGCTACAGCACCTCCACAGAAATAGGGAGTAAGCCTTGAGTCAGAGGCCTGGGACCTTGTTGCCAGCAACAGCAAGCAGCCGCACCACCACCAGTACACAGCTACTTAAGAAGTGCTATGCCAGGGTGCTATCTATCACAGATAGCCAGGCTGCCACACTGCTGCAGCCAGCCCTATACCTCCCCTTATGCTCGCTGCAGAGCCTCACTTTGCACCGCGGTGCGGCTCCAGCTCCCAAGGGGTGCAAGGGTCCCCGTCAGGTCTGCGGTCCACTGCCCAGCTGCATCGCACGGGGGCTACCACTGCAAGAGGGAAGCAAGCACCCGACGAGGAATGCTGCCCGTGGGGGGACTCGCCAGCGAACAGCAGCCCAGCACAGCCAGCTCGTGGGACAGCCACGCATGCTGGGACGCAGGCCTGTCGCCTGCAGGTACCCTCTCCCGTCGGTCTGGCACAAGTCTCGCACGACACGATTTGAGCAATCTGAGAAACGTCCTATCAAAGGAGCAGAGTGCCTCAGAATCAGACCCTATCCTGTACGCTTATCTCTCACTCCTCCAAATTAAAAAGTAAAACCTACCCATCAGCTAAACCCTACCACCTTAAATCTGTTCAGACAACCTTTTGTAATATCACTTCTACATACCTGAAAACGCCTACGGATACTCATGAAGTCGTAACACAATATGAAATTCAGTACTGCACAAGAATTAAAACAGCAGCTGGAAGACTTGCACTGCCATCACCACGCTCATCATCTCCTACAAAATAAAGAACTAAGACAATCAACATCAGTTCACATACCATCTATAGCCACACGAAGCATATGGTGATGGTGAATACATACACATCATCCAAGCACTCTGTGTACTACACACTTCTACCATAAGGTTTCTTTGAGTTGCTAGAATAATAACTTGTCTTTCAGACTGCAAACTGGTGGCAGTCTTGAAGTAGTTTCACACACCTTACGCATCAGCAAAGGAGTCACTTCAAGTAAGAGTATGAAACCCTCACAGGTGCCTGTTCCGGGAACACAATATGGTCTAGAATGCAAGAGAGTTTAAAAAGAACAAATTAGCATCTTCCAACAAGCCGGCTTACATGTCTGCAGAGATACTGGCTTTCAAGAAAACAAATGGAAGTGTATCCTTTCAGTGTTTCACCAAATTTTGTAAGAAAGGGTGATGGCTGAAGCACAAATCCCTACTTATCCCTGTTCAGCTAAACTCTTCAAAAGTTCTTTAACTATGAACAAACTAATTGAGAGCCATAGCTCAGCAGCTGGTGTGAGATGGCAAGCGCAGTCCAACAGGCTCCTAGCCAAGTGCTGAGCACCTGCACCCTCCGCTGCACAGCAAGGCACCCTCCACCCAAGGTCAAACCAGGCCTGCAGAGGGGCAGACTGCAGAACCAGGGTAACTGAAAGCACGGCCGACACTAATCCTTGCTTCGTGTCCCCTGGCCTCCTTAAACCTTTTCCAAGACTTTATTTTGAAGAGCAGGTGCGTACCTACCAGAGTTAAACCGTTACATTTTCATTAAGACTGAATTAGAGCAGCACAAGGTATACAAACCACTGACTAAAAGTCTCAGTGGTCATTGCCTACACCAGTTTACTTTAAAAATGCCGTTTCCCAGACAGCTTTGGAAGTAATTTATTTTTGCTTTTAAAACAAGGAAATAATGATCTTAGGACTGCATGTTCTACTGCACCTTTTTAACAAGCATTTTATCAATACATCTAAAAAAAAAAAACCCCCACAAAAAAACCCACCAAACGAACAAACCCCAAGTTTTTAAAACTGAAGAAATACCGTAGCTATTTGACCTTTACATCTTTAGCTATGGGTTAAAAAATCCTTACTGCATCAATCTAAATCTAAAGTTTATCTCATTGTGAATCACGCTAGAAGTATCATTGCATATATGAAGAAAAAAAGCACAAATTCCCCCAGAGTTGTGTAGTAGATTTTTTAAGTTGTTTGTACAACAATCCTGCACAAACTTACTAAAGTAATCAGGAGAAATAAACTGAACGTTCACCACAATTCTGAGCTACATAGATAGCCTTATGCTATTTTTCAGTAGTTTGAAATATCAATTCTTCTGATAACTTTTTTGTTAAAAAAACTCAAACAGAATATGCTCATGTACTAAATAAAAGCTGTACTGGGCCAGTGCTGGGAAATAAGATACTCACTAGTATTACAACGGCTTTTCGTGTTCAGAGAGCTACATCTCCGTTTCCATCTCCCAATAGGCCTCTGCAAATAGCAGGCACAGACCCAAGGTCTCTGCTTTCAGCTGCTTCAGTTGAAGGAGCTCCCTGTGCCATCTCCTCCGTACTTCCCATCAGTATCAGCAACCGGCCACGCTAACAGACCTTTCATTACCCCTGTACCCGACTGCTGTACTCACATGTGCTGACAGGCAACATTTTGTTACGGATGCCGCAGGTTCTCATTCATTAGCTAGGATAAACACTAGTTCTTCCAGATCAGAGAATTTGTTTAAACAAACAAATGGCAAAAACAACAAAAGCCCCCATGCCTCCACAATGATTACTTCGATCCAGAAAGCTTTGAAGTATCTGTCACCAGCTCTAACACAATACTATGGAGGCAAGCAAACAGCTTTTACTTAACAGTTTCCTATACAAAATCTCTACTAGGAACCCAACAAACTCCACTGCCCATTGCATGCAATAGATATTCCTTCATATGCATAAATAAAGGACAGTCTGTCTTCAGAAATTAAATTATTATAAAAATCAAATGGAAGTTCAACTCAAAATTGGTTTCTTGAAAATTTTGGATGACGTACAAAACCTTTAGAGGATGAGGTACAAAATCTTTAGAATGGTGTCTATTTACCACAGTCTTTTGGCATACTAACCTTTTCCACCTTCAAATTTCTACCAGTGAAAATTTTTACCCTATAGAACCCAGTGCGAGCAATGCAACACATGCAGAACTCTGCAGAGCTCCACCAGCACCTGGAATTGCTGACACTCAACCACAGGCAGTCTAATTCAGGGAGCTGCAACAGCCGCTGCTTGC